TTTGATTGTCAGGATTTTGATGTATGTGTCGCTTGGTGGACTTAAACACTGTTTCTGTATTTTTGGAGGTTCCAGCCCATGCCATTGCTGCATTTGGTGAGCCCCCGCAGCTTTTGGGCGGGCACCCGCGGATTTGTAATATATCAGTCCCTGGATTGTTAGTTATTTAATCGCATACTGTAACCGGATAGGGAATATTTAACTGCTTGTTGTGAGTCTAGCAAGTTAAAGGATTGGTATGATTGTACACAAATGCAAATCAATTAAATTAAAATGATTAGGGTGAGAGAAATAGGAGAAGAGCCTTAAGGCATAGGAATCACCACTAAGTTCATCACTAAACTGCAAGTCTTTGTCTAATTAGGAGAAAAATCATGTTGTAACCCAAGTGTGTGCTATCAATTGCCCACAATAATACTTCTTTACCTAAAAAACACCCGGTAACTTCGGGGTGAGTAAACAAGTTTACTCGTAGGGAATGAGCATGCATAAGTTTAACTTTTTACAAAGTTTGTAATTTAATATAATTCAATCCATGCTATTAAAGTGACATTAAAACTTTCAACATAGCATAATGAGATGCAAATTCACAAAGTTAACAACTTGGAATTTAAATGCAAAATCAAACGGAAGTGAAATTGTGACTGACTAAGAGTTCCCTCTATTTCAGGATCATGCATTAAAGGTTTTGACCGATTATGGTGAGTTAACATGCATTAATTCCACTAATCCTAAAACTGACAAAAATAAAATTTTCCAAGTAAAAAGAAAACAGCAAAAACTCACAAAAGGTTTAATAAACTGATAAGAAGTCAAACACTTTATACATTGGGTTTGAAGAAGTTGACAATGAATAAAATCAACAAACTATGCATCAGAAATCGGTCTTCGACCGTATAGGAGCTCCATGTGATCGAATATCTGTATTCAATAGATTGTCAAGCCAAAAATCAAATGTCTTCAGTTCTTATGTTAACAGTTTGCCTTGTAACTCTTCTGAGAATTTTATTAATGGATCACCATTTTAGTTTCTTTCAACAATTTATCTATTCTTAGTTATAATATTTGTATTATGTGTTCGATTATTACTGATTTGTTTTTAATATCCTCGAGTATTCGGGCGTGGGTTTGGCCAACCCGCATTCGGAAATCCAAGACGATGTTTTCTGAAAAAATATGAAGAAGAAACCCCCCCTAAAATCATGTTTTCTAAGCGACCATGTCAAAAGAAGAAAATAAAACTGATGTGAAAAGTCTATAATGCCCCTAGAATAGATTATGCAACAAAATTGGAAAATGATTCCATAGGAGGCTCAAATCACAAAGGAAAGGGTTTTACCCGGAAACTACCATGCACGCAGACGTAAATGGTGAGAGCGAAATCAACCAATGTGGTATCGCCCAGATTAAAACCGTACTCTTGAGATCACTTTAGGGCTACTAACCCATGGGTACCTTTCCCCTAGTGCGCACTATAGTGTAGGAGGACAATCCCCCGTACTAGAACCAAAACCTAGCCATGACAATTCTTGATTGATATCCCAAGTCCCAAAATCAACAAGTTGTGCAAGTCAAGATTGTATCAAAATACAAGAAATGCATTAACCACGTTTTATGCACAACCAAGATTTTGGAACACACAAGTCATGCCCTAGATTCACAACTATGATGGCATGTGAAATTTCGAGAAAACAAAGTATACATCTATATAAACTAGAATCAAGATATATAGCAAGAGAAATCCATCGAAGCAAATATACTACAAGTATAAGGTACATGATTCAATTGTATACAAAACAACATATGTGTATATAAACCGTTCCAAGACAAATGAGCATGTTCATTAAGTACATTAATGAAACCAAGATACAAAAAGTCTAGATACATGATATCAAGGCGTGATTAACTCGGGGAAGACATAAAAGAGAATTTAATCTACTTAAGGGATTAAATTATCAAGGTTACATGGCGAGTCCAAATGTTCTACGAACAAGTTATATCAAGGATCATGTCAAGGCCAAGTCTGATGTCAAGTTTCGAGTTTATTTCATACACGACACAACCACGTGAGTTAAGTTCCATACAAGAGAAATGAATAAATATAAGTTTCAAAACTTATCCGATTATACTCAATGTAATACACGTGAAGGAACTTATCAAGAAAATCATGAATACAAGGTTAGAAACTTAATCAAGTGCATAGAACCATCGAATGGATTTTAATTATTTCATTTAATTAAAATTTCTAGATTTTAAAACTCATCCAAATGATTTCATATTAATGTATGTTATTAAACATGTTAAGACTTGATTTAAGAGCATGATACAAGTACATTCTATGCAAGTTACGGCCATGTATATTAAACTTTAATACTAAAAAAATAATAATTGAAATGTTTCAAAATCTAATCAAATATTCTAGATTTAATATATATGAAACTACATGCCATGCACATCAAGAATTTTAAGTCGGAATTCCAACAGGATGAATAGTACACTTGGAGCAATTTAATTAATCTAATTAATTAAATATTACTAGATTTCAAAACACTTCCAATTTCTCTCAAATTCACCTATGTTGAAGAGTATGCCAAGGCCTAATATAATATGCTAACACATATTGATTTCAAGTTCGTTAAGGCCACATGATTTAATATTTTGTTCAAGATAAATATTAAATAAAATCTTCAATACTTATCCAAATGATCTAAATTTAATATATGTCAATCAACATATTAAGAGGTAATATTCTATCATACCACATGATTAAACAAAGCTATGGATAATCGGAAAAATTAAATCCTTCACAAGAAAAATAAATAATAAAATCTCTAGATTTTATATCAAAGCATGTAATCAAGTTGTATAAGTATCATAAGCATGTAATATAGCAAGAAAATAAATTATAACACCCCCTACCTCAATTTGATATGAAAACCTCAAAGGCCCACCGAAAAAAAAGTGTTTCGAATTCGCCGGAACCGAAGGGTTTTGTCAGGGACAACACGATCTACATAAATCCGAAGGAAGCCCCATGAAAATCACAACTTGACTTCAAACCCAAACTCTAGAAATGGTCAAAAATGAATTCTAATAAGGGAAAATGGTAGAACATGTTGAGGGAAACAAAAAACGTGAAAACCGAAGACTTTTTACTTAGGAAAAGTCAAAGGAGGAGAGAGAAGGTGGCAGCTCCATGGACATCCATGGCTGCTTCAGGTCGCGCAAGGGGAGTAGGGAAGATGAAAAATGAAATATCTTATCCCACTTTTATAAAAATCTCAAAAAGTGCCCCGAACGGGCCCCGTCGGGTTCGGAAAAGTGGATTTTAAGCAAACGTGCTCAAACGGCAAAACTCTATGAACGAAAAAGATTCAAAATGAGAAAAATTGAACAACGGAAGAAGCGGCATCAAAAACTGAGTCCCGAGTAGAGAGTTATGCCCCGAACAAGTTCGGTAGCGACCGGGTCCAGAAACTCTGAAACTGGAGAAAAACGACCAGAAGGAAATTCTAAGAATTTATGGGTCAACGAAAAGTGAAAATAAATCCCATACAAGAATCCAGGTTCCAAACGAGATATTTTGTAATAACTTTCATTAATTGCACAATGGCCCCTACAAAAGGGTTACCTGCGAAATTGCCCTAGAATGAAAATATCTTTTGAAGATATTTTCTTAGATACTCCTGAAATAAAATATCTTTAAAAGATATTTATGAAAAATACCCCAAGAAAAGAAAAAGATTCTGAAGAATTGTGCGTCCATGCCCCTATGGACACCGGGAGCAACCAGAGTACTTTCTTGTAAAAGTAAATATACGTATTTCGAGGAAACCACTGAAGATGAAGACACGTGAAGTCAAAAACCAACTCCGAGCATGAAAAGTGAGGTTGTGCCAAAAACTGACAAACGGGGAAAAGACAGAATAGGGAAAAAGACGAAATAGCGCATAGTGTCCGAAAAGTGAGAATGCATAAATGACTTAGTCCTCAAAGGAAGTTGTCAATCCATGGAAAAGAGTCTCAGAAACCATTTCCGAGTACTTGAGAAGACACTATGTGACAAGAAACGGAGCTCAGAAAAGAAAATTAAACGGAAAAAATTTATCCGTAAAATTTCAAGAAAAATGAAAGTAAGGTAAATAACCGGGTCATTACAAACTTGGTTCTACCAAGGGTTTTTTTTGTCATTTAATTCTTCTTATTGATTCTCTATGCTGGTTACTTGTTGTCTTATGTGTAATTGATTGGGAATTAATTTCTACATTAGATACCTTTACTAATTGTGTTTAGTGATGGCTATGCATGGTATTTATTGGATACACTTGTCAACTAATTTGATGGGTTATGGTTTAGATTTGATAGGTTGTTCTACACCTTAGTTTACTTGTAGTTAGATAGATAATTTATTATTGCCTTTAATAGTCCATGCTTATTATTGCAAATTGTATTATCCTCTTGATTAATGTATGCTATACTTGTTAATTAGTTTGATGGATTATGCTTAGACTCGTTGGGTTGTTTTACACCTTAGAGTAATTGTAATTAGGCAGACAATTTATGCTTGAATTTGATAGTTCATACAAGAAGACTTAATCATGCAATGTTAAGTTTTTGATATTAAAAGAGCAAATGACACTAGGATCAACAAAAACAAATAGCGTTGGGTCACATGCAACACTTGTGGGGGAGGGAAAAGAGTTGTTAAACCATTGCGTCATTACAAGAGTATTTTGGTCCGTTAAAATTAGCAAATGTTGCACGTGATAAGATCTTATTAGTTTTAGATGATAAAATACAATAGATTTTTTTAAAATATTAAAAAATAATATAATAATTTCTTTAGTTGAGAGAGTTAGTTGATATTTTTTTATAAATAATAGGAAATTTTTTGATTTTAACCTTTCATAAAATGGTGTATTTTTATTAATGGGGTATTCCTATAACTTGGTAAGCCAAGTAAAAATGTCTTTCTTTTGGACATCTCCAACCGAATTAAAATCGTGCCAGATTTTCGCAAATTTCAGCAAAATTTAACGCCACGGGTCAAAGGATTAGGTGGTGAAGAAAGTAAAAAAAACAAAAACAAAAACAAACGTTACAAGGTCTCCTCCTTCTTCAGTCCAAAGTACCATCGTCTCTGATTTTCACCCAATATATAACACATTCATGAAGGTAAGCCCTCGCTATGTGATCGTAATTCATATTTGCAAATTTCATGACCTTGTACATTTTTTCGTTTGAACAATTCTTCTTAGTACGATTATGTGCTGGACATGCATGATTTTTTCAATTTTTGATGTAAATTGAAAATTGGATCATCTTGGTTGATCTCTCTCCCAATCGGGAATTTTTGATCTCATTGATTCTATCTCTGATTTTCACCTGGGTGTCCTTGATATGTCCATTTGAAGCTGAAATTTCTGATCCCAATGATTTCTCTCTCTAAATTTCCTCCCGGGTCAATTGAATCAGAATTTCATGTTTCATTTTGATTGCTCTCACTAAATTTCCATCTGGGTATGCTTAATTTCCTCCCCTTTCCCAACCCAACTGGATTGAACTATCATGATAAACAACCACTCATTTGGATTAGGCAGTCCCAAGTCCTTTAATGCTTACCCAAGAGGTGACTTCGATTTAGAATCCGGAACCATCAAACGAGTCCGAAAGTCAAAATCTTCATCCTTTCATCCCGTCAAAATGCTTAAATCTTTTGCCAGTCGTGTTCAATACTACTACAAGTTGCACCCACTTATTGTTTTCTTCATTTTCTTGTCATTTGGGGTCACAGTTCTTGTAATGCTCTCTCTTTATGAGAGCCGGTTCCGTATGATGGCTAATTATAGGAAACTTGATATGGGTTCGGATGCCTATCCGTTTGCTAAGCTTCAAAATCTTGTAATGGTTGCTGGGCATTCAATTTATACTAGTAGTAGTTGCGAGAAAGTTGATAAGGAAAATTCTTGGTTTTTGGAGTCGTATCAGAAGCATCCTGGCCAAGCTGCCACTTTTGTAACACATATACAGGAGGGGGTTGAGATTGCAGCCAAAGATGATGAGGCTTTGCTTTTATTTAGCGGTGGTGAGACTCGAAAAGATGCAGGTCCTCGAAGTGAAGCGCAGAGTTATTGGGTGGTTGCTGAATCAAAAGGATGGTTTGGTACTTTCTTCTGTCTTTCTTACTTTTAATTATCGTCTCAGCATGCTTAATTTTTCATAGAAATTAGTTAGATCATTGAACTTATCCATTGTTGATGTTTGGTGGAAAAAATTTAGGAACTCCCTAGGTAATTGTCTGTTTAATAGTCATCAATACCTTTGTAGTTCAATGTGGTTATATTTATAATGCATATATCACAATTGAAATCTGAACTTGTCAGCCATTTGGACAAGAAAACAGGATTCATTTAGTGACCCTAAATGGATAGTAGAAGACTTGGTTGAGTTGATCAGCTAAGGCACATATTAATTATGGTAATATATCAGAGAGGTACTTTTTTGTACCATATTATGAATTTGCTTGCGAGAACCTTGTTAGCCTCTTAAAGATGGTCAATGGACAATTTCATATTTTCTTTTTTATTTTCTTAGTCTTATCATTGTAATTTTTGAATTTTAGGATGTGACTCTTTCTTGTATCATTTTTAGATCTGTGTAATTTGATGATACTTTCAGTGAGCCTTGTGAGAGTTTTCCATATCAACTTAAAATCTTAGAACACTTTAAAATAATGGCATCATCATCATCATACTTAAGCTAGTGGCAACCAACCTCTATCCATATGCAACAATTTGGATGCATATGATCTACTGCTTTTAAACAATTTTTTATATTTTAAATATAATGAAGACGTCAAGAAAGCCTGTCATCATTGTCAATAGATCTCTTTTTCTGAGTTTGTGGGATTGTGTGGCTATTTTATGTTCAATGAAACAGCCTCTCCGCATGTGGAGGAGGTAAGGCTGCATAAATCTGACCCTCCCTAGACCTACATTGCAATGGCGGGAGCCTCGTGCACTGGGTTTGCCTTTGTCGCTGTTTTAAGCTACCAAAATACTTTTGTTCTGGATAAATAACCAAATAATGTGCTTCATTTGTGATTGAAATTTACCATTCATCAAAGATTTTTTTTCATGGTTTCTTATGGCGTGACTTGCTTGTCCATGGTAACTGGAGTCTGACCATGACATTTTGTATGCTGAAAGGAATTGTGTTATATTCTTTTCATCTGTTCATTTCATGGGTGAGATCAATATGATTTTGCACACCACTTTTTAAGCAATTCCTGTGTATGTTAAAAGAAATTGACAGGATATTTTTGGATGGTTATGTTCTCCTTCTTTTAGTGTAAACATGTCATCTCTTTTTTTGAATATATGACTTTATGAAATTCTGGAATCAAACTTTTGAAACTTAATCAATCTTATGTATCTTCAAATATTGCACCACACTTTAGTCAAGGATAATTGCTGGGCAAGGGTGGTTGGTGTGACTGTGTGTGAGAGAGAGAGAGAGAAGGGGGGGGGGGGGGGGGGGGGGGGGAGAGAGGGAGAGAGAGAGTTGGATGTTTTGATCAGTGATAAAGTGAAATAGTAATAGATGTTAAAAGAATTGCATTAAAAACTTGCAACTAAGTTTGGGGAGCTGTTTTTGCATGAGACCTTCAACTTGCCATGTCTTGTGGGATGTTATGAGTCTAGAATTGTACTATGTCTTTCTCTAGATAACTTTCATGTTTTCATACTGAAGTACTTTTTGCTAATTTATGCAATTATAGGTTCAGTTCTATCATACCTCTGAGAAGAGATTAGCAAAGTGTTGACAGGTATATTGCATTCAGTCCATCATTATTCACTTGGCTTGCAATGGACACCTATAGCTTCATAACCTGTCAGCATGATTGTGGCACCCCACAAAACCACATAAATCTTGCTATGAGTTTTGTTTTTTTTTTTTTTGTTTTTTTTCTTTTGTTTTTCCTTTTTGGTAAGTAAGGTAATAATCTTGCTATGAGTTTTTGTTTGTGATATCGTTTTCTTCATTGGATCCTACCATAATTTATGATTGAAACCAAACGTGTATGGGCAGTGTTGTTGGGATAACAATGGTAATAATGGTGAAGGTGTTGCTACTGCTGGTAATGATGGGTTTGATCATGAATGATAGTAGCAATTTTGTTGTTCGAATTGGTGCCAACAGTGTTGGTGCACCGTTGATGAAAGGCATTCACGATAGTGATCCTGACACTATTGTGGCAATTTGTGGTGTAATTGGTAAAATATATTTCCTTTGATGGTGGTTGCAACACGGTTGCTCGTGGAGGTCGGGGGATTGATGGTTGTGCTGGTATCTAAAGTGCTTTAGGTGGTTAAGCAGTTGGTAGTGGTGTAGGATGTGTATTGTCGCAACTTGTAGGTGGTGAGAGAAATATTTAGAAAACCAGAACTTTTGCATTTCAAATTAGCTAAGAACATGAACATCTGTCCCTTGATCTGGCTATGCTTTTAGTTCCTTAAGGCTCTATAATGTATTTAATATTTATAAGAAATCCTTTGACCCCCATTGGGGGGTCCTTTGTCATTTCTCGACTAGCAGAATCGTGGACATCAAAAGTTTGGAGTTGATTGTTCATTATTGGCCCATGGTAGAAGCAGATGTTCCACAGGGATGGGTTGTGTGCGCTAACACCTTGTCATGGCAAACCTAAAAAATGTATGATACAGACACGGGAAGGTCACGGAAATAATTCTTTTTATTTATATAAAATTTCTATTATATATAACAACTAAACATTCTATGACTGTAACATGAAATTCATAGTTTATAGATTATATAATTACAATCACCCATGTCATCTAGAGAAAGACATAACAAAGTCACTATATACATGTAGACACGTGTGTTTATATATTTATGTATGAGTAAGTGTACACATTATTTAAGGACTCCTCTTCTGCTCACATGTCCACGTTTTTAATAAAACCTTCAGATATATATGTATATATATATATTTTTCCCTGAATAACCTTCAGATATTATCTTCAAATCTAGTACAACTTATATAAATTCAAATAAAATTTTAGATTTCCTTTTCGTCCCAAGGCCGAGGCCATTAAGGGAAAGGTATATTGTAAGTATCATGACTCATTCAAACACTCTACTCATAACTGTGTTGTGTTTCGAAACTTTATACAGACTTTGTTTCAATCACATTCCTATAAAATGTGACAACACAACTGCTATAAACATTTCTAAAAATCCTATTCAGCACTGACGAACTAAGCACGTTGAAATTAGGAACCATTTTCTTATAGATCATGTGTCTAAGGGTGATATCATGCTTGCTCTCCATTTTCTAGTTGGGCTCTGGATCAAGACGAAAGGGAATAGGTCTGTGCAATAGAAGCCTAACCGGTCACCCTATCCCAAGGTGTAATTCCTTCTTTTTTCCTGCGGGTTTTTTATTTACTCATGCTCACGAACATTAATTCATGAATATGTAAGATATTCCGTTCACAAGGCTAATTGGGTTGACCTCCTTCAGCTATAGATAACTTGTAAGGTGAGGTCTTATATATGGAGACTTCCCTTAATAGAAAGATTCTCACAAATTTTGGCACTATTATTGGAAAGCTTGAGCCTCCCTATAGGACTTGATTGAGAAAGCCGTTAGTCAATGTGAATCTCCTCGAACATTGTAATATTTTTCTTATGCTAAATGAAAATCAACGTTCCAGATTCATTAGTCACATGTTAGTGTCACCCATGTGTCTGAAATTAAGAAATTCATCTTAACCACGTTCAAGATGTGTCAGACGTGTCTGACACAGACTTTGACTTGGTAAATTTTTCTTCATCTCTACTATGAGAAGGTGGACAGTGGACTCTCTCTCTCTCTCTCTCTCTCTCTAAAACATAGTTTAAGGAACACTTTAAAAAAAATTCAACTTCTCTGCTCTCTTAATATTCTGCTGCTTCCTGATGAAGGAACACTTTAAAAAATGCTACCAGAGTGGTACCTTTAGCTTACTAATTTATACTATATCACGGTGCAATCCCATGTTCTGCGTTCTTGTGGCTGATCAAAATAAACGAATTGCTCTATGATACAGATGTGCTTCCACTGCATTAATACCCTGAGTACATAATTGCCGCTGCGGGTAAAAAATGAAACATAATTGTTTTCGGCATCTCTTGTTTAATGTTAGATTATTTTGTATTATGTTGACAATTTAGTTCCATAAGCTGTATATCATCCTGTATTGGTGTTTTATTGTCATGTTGTAAATGCCTCAACAGGTAAGCAAGAAAGCGTGAGATGGAGGGCACTCACGGAAGAACACGCAAGGGACAGTTTTGAGAATCTTCTATTTAGTGTGTGCCGGTTCCGGGAGCTTACTGGCATATATCCTCATAACATAACTGTAAGCCCATTTATATTGCAAAAATTTTTACTGTCTGTGAAATTTAAAATATATTTATGTAATATTTGTCACAGAATGAAAGGTTAGGAGGAATGCAACTGAACACTTGTTTAATCTTTTTCCTTAAAACCTTATTATTGCGCCAAAGTTTTCGGACCAAACCATTCGTAATTTTGGCTCTCGTTTGTGTTCATTGTCGTACATGCATATGGTACACGCACACACACGCGCAGACACACACACAAACACATATATATTTGCGTAGCCAGCATAAAATGTTAGTCGTGACCAATAATGATATATTTGTATGTCCCATATATTTGTGTGCTTGTGTTTATATATGCATCTGTAGAAAAGCTTTTTCCTAATCTGTCTAGGATCAACTAAACAAACTCTGGTTTCCCCCTCCACTTTGTGTAGGCCAAGTTTCTTTTAGAATTACAAATATGTCTCTCACTCGAACTTAACCCATACCTTTTTCAGTCTTCTATTGTCCCTGGTAAATCTACCTCCTCAATCATGTGACTCCTCACTCAGTAGGATTGCTGATCTTTGTAGCAAAACTTTCTTCCATGATTTTCTTTTATCTTGAATAAATTGGTTCTACCTCTAGTTCCTCGTAGATATGCACTTTAAATTATAACATTTCTTGCTTGTTTGTCAAGGTTTACTTCTCAATTATTGTATTTTCTGAGCATGTTGTTGTTTATTGGTTGCCTAACATTTGGTACTTGCAGACACCCTGTTTTAGATCTGCAGTACGACTTAGGCCTTTTACATTGAGTCCTTGATGGTTGGACCAGTGATTCGATTTTGATTTTACTGGTTGATCCTTTCTTGCTTTCTGGTTTTATTTTTCTCTAGCATTCCCAAGTGGACTAGGCTTAATCTGGCTTAGAAATGACCCTTTGGAACACAAGTTTGATTATGTTGACTAATTTTGTATAAAATGTCAAAATGGTTGATCAGACTTTGACCTTTTTTTTTTTTTTGGGTACTATTTTGAGAGATTTGAAAGTATACTCAGAAAGTACATGATTTGAGGTTTTCAATAGTATATGCCAGGTCTCAATCCGATAAGTATGGGGGTACCTATAAGTGATTTATTGATCTTTTGATATTTTCTTTCCAGTGACCACTTCATAATTTAAACATTTTTCGAAAATTTCTTAGATTTTATATTTCAAACCAATTTTAAGTAGGTACTTCTTAAGCTTTTGGCAATTTATGGCCCATGAATATTAATCCTAGCTTTCAGATGTACAAGTTACGGATTTCAAAGTTTTTTCGGAATTTGAGAGTACAAAATATATTTTTTGAAATGCAAAAATATATTGAGATTGTCAGTACAAAATGTTTTATAAAGACAGAAGCTGAAGAGAACAATGAACGGAAGAGTGGGTAATAGCTATGGCAACACCCTTCAAGTGGTCATGCGGCTACTTTCATTTGCCCTCTTAACTTACAATTTTGTATCTCTTCCAAAATGGACATCAAATTATGATTGCGCGTGACACAACCTTGATAAGAGTCTAGAAGCATCCCGAATCAGTCAACATAGATGAGCTTTGGAAAGGATCTCTGAGCTCTCCTATGACCCTAGTCTTGATGCTGAGTAACTGCTTTATGTAACTAAAATTATCATCTAATAGACTATCTAATGCCCATTACTCTAACCTTAGACAACCATAATCATTTTCCCTCTTAACTTATAATTTTGTATCTCTTCCAAAATGGACATCAAATTATGATTGTGTGTGACATACAACCTTGATAAGAGTGTAGAAGTATCCTGAATCAGTCAACATAGACGAGCTTTGGAAAGGATATCTGATCTCTCCTATGACCCTAGTCTTGATGCTGAGTAACTCCCTTTATGTAACTAAAATTATCATTCAATAGACTATCTAATGGCCATTACTCTAACCTTAGACAACCATAGTCTCATAGTAATCATGACTCCCATAACCATCATTTCTTTAAAAAAAAAAAAAATGTCTTTCATAACCAACAAAGCACATATCAAATCATCAACCATATCAAGAGACTCAAATAAACATGGAAGCTTCCAATGCGTGCTTGGAAGGACCAAGGTTTGAATATGTAAGCTCAAATTCAAATTCCATCAACTCCAAAAGGGGGATTAAAAACACTTTGAAAGGTTCCAAACTCAAAGATAAGTGAATCAAAGGATCTACTTTTATTTGTTTCTTTTCTTCCTGCATAATTACGTATTAGTTTTGCATATTTTATATGATCTTGGTTTTCAGTGATTGTTAATGGATTTATTATGCTTTTTCGTCATTTTGATTTTCTTATGATTATTTGAAACAAGTTTAAAGGTTTGATCATCAGGCTTTCGGCTGTTGGATTGAGATAGTGTAAAAGTGCACCTCTCTATCCGCTGGGCGCTGGCTGAGGGCGTGACCTCACAGTGAGAGTGCCCTTGATAAACTTACTCTGTGACTTTACATTTATTTTGGTCTCTAAATTATGAGATTAGTCTATTTATACATGTTTTATAGTACTTCTCAATCTGCAATCTTTTATGTTGAATTGATTTGATTTATTTTTATAATTTATCATTTCTGATCTCTGAAATTCATTAGAACGAGGGGAGAGGGGTGTTGGCCCTAAAATTTTCAAATTCTTGTCTTTAGCCCTCCAAAAAAGCCATTTTGTAAATAAATCTAAATTGTGCTCCACTTACAAAATATTTTCACCCCCCTGCCCCACAACGCCCTGCGTGGCGGCCCCTTGGCCCCAAAAAATAGCGAGTTTGGAAATAAATATAACTTGTGTCCCCTTGAAATTCATAAAAATGTTTCAACTTGAACCTTTTTAGCCTTACTTTTGAAGTCCAAAACTTGTGAACAAAATATTTCTTATTGAAACGTATCATTATTGCATTTACATTTACATATATACATGCATAATCTCCATTATACTATTACAAGAGAGAAAAAAAAGAAAAATTACACTAATGTCTCATGTTTAATAAAAATACACGAGCCTTCGTTATTGAACATTTTTGTTAAGATAGTGTTTTTGAAAGAGAAACATTTAGAAGAAACATGCATAATCTCCATTATATGTGTACAAGAGAGAAAAAAAGAGAGAAAAATTACACTAATGTCTCATGTTTAATAAAAATACACGAACCATCCTTGTTAGATAGTGTTTAAAAGAGAAATATTTAGAATTATATGTTAATCTCTATCGGTTAGTCTTGGGAGCATTGCAAAGGAGGGAACACCAAGTGTTATGAGACTAAGATGACAAAAATGCCAACAACAATGATATCATCTATGCTTATATTTTTAGTTCTAGCTTGTTAAATGAAAATTTCTATAGTTACTTCTTGTATAAAGTATTCAAGTACTTTTCTATTTTGTTCTGATAATCGTGTTTTGTTAAAACTTGCGATAATTTGTTTAGTTAGAATGGTAAAAAAAAAAAAAAAAAAATTCATAGTTTTTCCATCAAAGTAATAATGTTATATCTTTTCCCCAAAGTGGAATCAAAGTACTCAAAATTGAAACAATTGCTGAAACTATATATATATATATATATATATATATATATATCTCTTTAACAATGTTTTCCTTTAGCACTTCTCTTTTTACATTTAACTTATTGTTTCCTCCTCTCTATGGGTTTTTTTTTTTTTTTTTTTTTCCCCTCATAATTTTTCATTTTTATTTATTTAGGGTGCATTTTTCTCATTTTTGGTTGGATTATATTTTCCTCAATATATATGTGTGTGAAATTACATTACAATTGAGTTATAAATTTTTTAAATTTCAATTACATAGTACTGGTTGCCCCCCTCCCCCAAACCCCCCCAAAAATTTAAAATCTGGCTCTGCCCTAATTAGAACCTTTGATTAATCATGGTTATGCTTATATCTTACTTCTAACGCACGTTTTAATTGGGCAAATATTTTGGCTTTTACCTATTTCTGTAAAAATGTAAAATAAAGCATTAAATAATTTTCAAATTGTTTGATGGGATGTTCAAGAGTGTCATGAGGAACAAATTCTGAAATTTGAATTTTTGGGAATAGGGAAATGGAAACCAGAAAAACCGTGGTTTTTGGGAAATGGAAACCAGAAAAACCCTGATTTTGACTTGTTTCCATTCTGCTTTGATTTTAAAATTTTAATATTTCAAAGCTTGATTTTGAACTCTGGGATTTATTTGGATGCTGGAATTTAGTTTCATCATGTCTTCTTTGTTTATGATAGGTCAGTTGAGTTCAATTGATTTATCTCATGTATTTAGATTTGTTATGGTAGCCTGTTTAATTTCTTTGAGGAATCTACTTTTGATTTAGTTTTTTACTTTGTTTAATTTTAAGTTTATTACTTTTAAGATTGGTTAGAGTCAGACTTTGGGTTTTAGGATTTGTAATTTTTTTGTGTCATAATTATTAGTTACAATAACATTACGAGTAACTAGCATAGATGGTATAAGCTCTCCTTCCTAAAGGGGTGGTTGAGTGTTAATTTTTTATAAATTTTGGACCACCTAATCATACTTTAGGTACATTTTAATTGTTTTTCATGTCTCTCATCATGTAGAGCCATGGTTAGGGGATATTTTCGTGCTCAATTGGGGTTCAAGTGTTGATAAAATGGATGTTTCCTTTGCACGGAATTTTTTTTATTTTTATTTTTCATGTTTAGCATGATTACATGGTGCTTCAATTATAATTTGTTTTGATTTTGTTCGCATGAAATCGTTAATTTTGATTTTATTCCTACTTATTATCATCACTTCTAATGTTTCTGCATGTGGCTTATGGTTGCATGTATTGAGGTACAAAGGTTGCGATAGTGTAGGTGAAGTGTGTGCTTCCCTCAACTCTTGAGAGATGTGGTTGTAGGTAATGAGCTTTGTTAAAGGGTTATTACCTAGTGTGGTCTGTTAATCGAGTTTTTTGGTAGGGTTATCGAATACAAACCTATCATTTGACATTTTTCACACGAAGTGGCTGCTTTTAGGATTGAATACATGTTCTCATGTTCAAGCTGTCGAGCGGGATTTTCTATTTTCTTTTAACTTTCCAGTTCTGCCAAAAAAAATTATTTACGAAGTATTTAACTGCTTAACATCTTTAATAGTTCTCCAAACATTCTTTTTTTGAACAAAAGAATGCACCTGACTGGGATAATATTGATTGAATCTATTTGCTTTCATGATTCAATGAAACTGATGAAGATTAGCAATCACATCAATTTTCCTCAAAACCTCCATAAAACCGCGCCAGTTAACAGTCCTGTCATATTCATCCTTTCCCCCACCATTTCTTTGTGCTGAGTTTGATTTTGAACTAGAATTTATGCATGTTTCCTAAATCCATACAGTAGTACTTATGATTTCATTCAAAAATTAGGTGGTGAGTTATGATTTCAAGGAAGAGAGGTTTGCATATCTGCATCGATCCGCTATTGGGTTTCCAGAGGCAAGGTTCTTCTACTCGGGCACCCCAGCTTCATCAACTTCAAGGGAAGCAGCAATGAAAGGCGAAGCACTAGTGAGGGCTCAATTCCAAGAAGACCCTTATGGGTGTTTAGGTTCACTTCGTCGAAAAAAGATAGGGCGTGATCCTTTTCATCGTTCAATCCCTTATCCTAATGGATGTCCTGAAATTGAAGGCTTGTTCAGATATTGTGGTGGAGCTCCATATCCAGGTTCTCTTCCTTGGGCTTACTAGACTTGATCGCAATATTTTTCTCTCTCCTGATCTATAAACTAGTATTCTAGAATTCCTTAGCCAGCAGCAAAATAGATTTTGTACCTGACAATAATTTGGTTCTTTTATTTAATTTTCCTTAAAATTAATGTATAGAAAGATGAATAGATGGAAAATGTTTCGTTTATCCTTATGAGGGAGATGTGCACTGTTAGAAAATGAGGTGAAGATTTACTAAGTTTCTTCTGTTGGTTGAAAATCTCATTTTTCTGTTGGGCCATGCGTAGTGATAGAAAATATTAGCTGATTTATTCTGTTCTATGCTGAGGTAGCAATAATACTACTATAGAATTACACCCCTGCCCATTCTCCTATTTTTTGCGTCATAGAATGTCATGTGGCAAAAACTTTGTGGGTTATGCCTCTTGCTTGTTGGTACAGAAAACAGATATCTGTAATTTTTTCTGGATGCCATGTTTTGGAAAAAGCTGGCTCTTTCCTCCTGGTATTCCATAAATGACTACTGAAAACTGAGGTTCTGTCTCCTCTCTCTCTTCTGATTCTACAATAAGGACACACATTTTCTTAATTTGATTTGGTGTCCTTTGTGACAAAGGAGCATAAGAGTACTTTCTTCATTGTAGATAATTATGGTAATCAAATCTTCATAGATCTCTTTTTATCAAATATTTTGAACTGACGGGAAAGTATCAAAGTTATGTAGGAAGAGTTCAAAATGTTCCCTTTCAGGCTTGTAGAAAATCAAATTAAAGATGCAACATGAACAATTAAGCTTGTACCATGTCGTGGGAAGTTATCTTTTTGTATGTATATAGAGGGTAAAACATTGTCACAATTTTTCTTAAATCTCTGAAATGTAGGAGGTAATTTTTTTTTGGGTGGTAGGTAAAATCTTTGGGTTTAGGATTCCTCTATTCAAACTTATGCCAGATCTTCTTCCACACTTCAAACTCATCTTTTGCCAATTCCTAATTCTGTTGAATCCATCTTTACTACAAATATTTTACAATATTTTCCTTTTTTAAAAAACAGCAAAATGACTATAGGGAGGATGACCTGAAAATATAAGAACAATCTTTTATTTTTTAAAAATAAAAAGGGAAAAAAAATCCCGGCAACCAACATATGAACCCACTACCCTATTATGGAGACTTGAAATTTCAACTTTTCACTTTGGAAAGTGTGGAAGTATCCCTAGCTACAACGTTTGGTTCAGAACAATTTAATTTAAGCTTACTCTAATGGATACTATTTTCAAGTTATGGGTAATTTAACAACGTCCATTAGGTAAGCCCTCTTAATTTTAACCTAAACAGCGTGTTCGTAGTTTTATTTAGTGTGAAATACAAGTTTGAACAACAAACTTTGAAGTGATCTTAAAGTTAAACCAACATATGCAATATCTCCTTCTCTGCCTTGACAAAATTCATAAATGTTCGAACTGCTTCTGATGTTCCAAAGGAATGAACCAATAAAATTGTTGAAACAGGACTTTGTTACCAAAGGCTGAATCTGTGCTTCCATTGGTCAATTGTTTTGTAGTCATCGAACCATCTCACGGAACATCGCCCTTTCCCATGTCTTAGCAAGATTTTTCACCTTTCTTCAAATGAACCAGGAGGCCATATCTCCCATAAATATACCAGGAGGTTAAAAAGATGATATTGATATAAAGAACTTAGAAATGCTAGTGGAAATCATGACTACTGACTCTCCGTGAGTGGATGAGGTGGGACAATGCCCCCTTAAAATTATTTCCATTTTTTTTTTTTTTTTTTCTCTTTTACTATTCAAATTCCTGTAATTTCTTACCCAAAAAAAGGGTTAAATTTCCCTTCTTCAATCAAACCCAAATTTTTTCCCCCTTCAAAGTAGTCATTTTTCTTTTTCTTTTTCTTCTTCCTCCTCCTTTATTTTTTATTTTTTTTTTAGCTCCCTACTTAAAATTTGTCTTTTTGCACTTCTATATAATGTGTATGTAGTATGTAACTTTTTTTTTTTTCCTCTTTTTTTTTTTTTTATTTCTCTTTTTCTTATTTAAATTTATTAGTGTAATTTTATGAACTCAATTGGTGAAGTTTTATATATTGCTTTCAAATCCTGAATCCATCCTTGGATGGGATCCACACCATTCAGTCATCATAGTTGGAGGAGCACCACTGTGTGTTACTCTCTCTCCATTGAAGTAGGTAGGACCTGTACTTGTCCCCCTCAACAACTGAAGATGCCATTTTCCATGGCAGGCAAGAGCCTGGGTACTGTTGAACCTGAAATCTTATAGCGCATAATATTTCTTTGTAAGCAAATCATCACCTAACGCAGTGAGATATAGTCTTTGTGCACAATAATGCTCGTCAACAATTAGAAGATTAATTTTAAGCACGTCTATGAGATGATGACATACCCAGAATCAACATGAACTATTCAATCAATCTGCCATAGAATAGTTGTTCAACCTTACATTAAAAGATCTTTAGGTTAGGTGGGTGATGTTGATTATTGAGGACTACTTATCAATTTATTATATGTATAAACTATATATATGTATATTATATAAAGAATCATTTGACTGTAGGAATATTCAATTATCTGAGTGTAGAAATTTTACATAACATCATAGCACAATAGATGATGGCAACTAAATGTGTTAATAAAACATAAATTGAGTGATAAGGTTCAGCGTAGTGAAACCGGCATGAGTTGTCAACATCTCCAAAATTATTGGTCGAACATGAGGAATGAAATACATCACTGGTTAATCAGATTTTTTCCCCAACTTGCATGTGTGGGCTTGATTATTCTTTAGCAACCGATATGACAAATCCAAATCTAAAACAAGAACATGGCACCGATTCCATGTCTTTCATGCCGCCCTCCAAGATTGTTGAATGCTCCTGGACAATTTTTGCTGTCCCTTTGTTTCAATATTTGTATACATTTCAAGATTGTTTAGTTTACCAATAAAATTCTAGGCACATCATTACTTGTTCATTGGCCATATTCTACGCATTTTTCATCTACAGACATATCTAATTCTGGGAAATGGTCTTAAACCTTACTTCTGGAGATTGTTACTTAAAATTATAATTCTTCTTCTTCCTGGTCCTTGTCCTACTATTCTACCATTTTGTTAAATGATACAGTTCAAGTGGGCATGGAATTGCCTCACCTGCCCAAGAACTGCCAAGCTCATCCCATTCTCATTATGCTCTTGTCAAGCCGTGCACGAGTCGTCTCAGTAATTTTGAGGTTTTATTAAGCATTTAAGTGTTGGTGTGAGTTGATGATGATTGTTGAGACTAATGCACTTCTTGCTATACAGCAATGTTTGCAGAGTAGGAGTTGTTCTACTTTCATTTAATTTAAGAATTCTGGCCATGCAATTGGTGTAAAGGTCATGCTTTTATATTCTCTTTCAATTTTTTTCCTTCGTAAATTAGCAGAAACAACAGATGAGAAGGTGGAAGACCGAACAGGACTTCTTCAGAAGGATGAAAATGGAATATATCCTACTAGTTGTTTTAGTTTGCACAGCGACGCGCACACCCACAGGCACACATCTTTATAGATATATATATATATATATATTTCTTTACATGTAATTTAATGTCACCCTGTAGAAAACACTTTCAGTTGGTTTCAGTTGATCTTAAATGTAGCATACATATGTTTAATGCAGTACTATTGCCCTCAACTCTGGGATTTATTAGGTTGAGCATGTTGAAGATGATAATAGACAATACAGAAGTTATAAGTTCATCGATCGAGATTCAATTTATGTTGCGTTTAGGAGTACCGAATCGGTGTTTGGGAGTACCGAATCGGAAGAAATTTAGTTAAAACTGCATGTACATGTATATATAACATTAACTAGCAATAATGCATTTGTTTAAAACCAAATCATAGGGACTTGAGTTCATGCCCCCTACAGTATAAAAAGACAATTCGTCTGAGTTTTGACATTATTAACTTATTGCAAGTATCAAAGGGCAGGTCTGTATGTTCATTCCTAGCCCTAGCTTTAATGGTAGAGAGGGTACGCATTGTTCATGTGTGTTGTGGAAGTTCACCAATAGAGCTATCCTGTGTTTCTCAAGAAAGGGCAGCTTGAAGATATCTCAGCTACAGAACCATCAGAGTTCGCAGCAGCCTTCATTAGACCACCAAGCAATTCTCCGCGATCATAAAAGAGCTCCACCTTCACGATCTTCGATTCTTCATCCAACTATTTCAACACAAACTACAATCAATTCAATCCAAGTGACGAGTTCAAATACGAGGAAAAGATGAAAACAGAAAGGTTAGATTGGAAACATACCTCAAAAATGCCTATCCCATAAAATTCTACCTTTTCTCCAGTAGGGGGGTGTCCTTTGAAAGGACCCTCCATGAAACCCCAGTGCCTAAACTTGTACACAATCACAGGTGGACCGGTGTAAACTTGTAGAACCTCTATAGCAAACCCTCGTGGGAACGTTGTCGTGAAAGCACGGTGAGATGAGTCTGCAGTTTCTTCGGCTGGGTTGTATCCCCGGAGCTTCTCTGGCATGGCAGTTTGCAGGAGCACGTTGTAGCCTCCCCCAAGCTTTCCCAACTCCTCTAAAGTTAGAGCTTTCCTTCCTGAAAATTATTATCAAAGTACTATACAAACACTAAACAGCACTATAATTTTGATTAGAAAAGAAGAATGACTTCAATTTACCGTTGAGGCTGGCAGTATACTTCTTGGGGTTGATTGTTTTGAAGTCATCCAAACGCGACTTATGGAATATCTCCATTTCCCATGACTTGAGAAGGTTCTGCACTTTTTCTTCAAGTGAACCTGGAGGCCATATCTACCATATAAACAGATCAATGGTCAGATATATATATATATATATATATCTATCATAAAGTTACAAAATTATTACAAGGCCAAGAGATTGGTTGTGCTATTTTTTGTGTTTGTGTATGTATATATATACACACATACATACCTGTGTTCTACCTTCTTCAAAGAGCTTGTTTACAAAATCATAGTTAGGAGGAGCACCAAACCTCCAGACTGTGTTCTTCTCTTCATCTCCATTCAAAAGAGACCTGTACTTGTCTCCCTGAGCTCCTGGAGATGCCATTTAATGACTAAAAAAGAGGTTGGTATGTTGAACCTGAAATTTTGTGACACAGAATAGTTCATTCATACAAACAGATATATATAAGCCAAACACCACCTGACATAATGATATAATAGTCTTTGTTCATACCATTCAATGCTGGTTAACAATTTGAAGACAAATTGTCTGAACTTCTCTATAAGATGATGACAAACACAGCATTCAATCTCAACATCTAAACTATTCAATTCAACAATAACTTGTATTATTCAGTTACCTAATTGATAGAACATCTAGCTTTTCGAACGGGTATGCCTGAGTCCCTCTCTCCTAATTTGTCACAAAAAAAAAAAAAAAAGAAAAAGAAAAGGAAAGAAGAAAAAGAGAAATAGGATTAGATTATTAATGAAGTGGCAGAGTTGTATCCTTTCATATATTAATCGAAGCACATTTGACATTTTTTTCTTTTGAAAAGAGAAAAGAAAGAAAAAGACGGAAAAAGAAATGGCAGAGTTGTATGCTTCCATATATTAATTGAAGCACATTTGACCTTTTTTTTTTTTCTTTTTTCAAAAGAAAAAAAATAAAAATAAAAATAATTGGATACTGCTTCTCTTGGCTAAGATTGATCTTCGCTGGATAATCTCGTGACATGAAAGCGATGTTGATGCATCCAGCGTCAGTGGGTGTGGCGTCCGTGTTGAAAATTAACTTGCATCTTTTTATTTTATTTCCATGGCTTTTAGGATTGATTTAGAAGATTATCGTGCTGAAACTAGCGCTGGAATTTGGGTGGTTTTAATCCGGGCAACCCGATTCCCATCTAACGTGGGCACACTTGTTTTAAATTTTAAAGTAAAAAATAAAAAATTACAGTATTTAATTTTAGTCAAGGAAACAAAATAATAAAGAATATAATATTTGGGGTTCTTTCCAAATTCTAATAAAAATGAATTGTATCAAGTCCTACAAGTTTTCAAATCCTAATAACATAGTTTGGTTAATTTATGTCTCTTTTATTTTATATCAAGTGTACATAATATATATACAAAAATAATTTTCAGTGTTTATTTATTACTAGAATATTTAAATTTGGGATGATTCGAAAAACTCATGAAACCCATGTGGCATGATGCGGGTTGACACTTGGCACGAGTTAAGATATGATGGGTGACATACCCCAACCATATACACAATTATAATAAAAATTGTAATCACAACCTTTTATACAAATTCTCAACTTCATAATTCCATCAAACTAATCATTACTAATTTCATACTTGAATTAGGTGAAATAAGTAAAGAAATAGATGCAATTTATACAACACCCATGCTATACTTATTCCTAAGAGAATGTAATAATAATCATCACTTCTATAATAAATCACAACTTTTTTAGACAATTGAAATGGAAATTCCAATTTTAAATATTTAGATTAAATTGCCACACAACACTTATACCCAGCAAGATTTGTATAATTGAAAATAAATTTTCAACCCAATAAAAAATAATTAATAAATAAATAGAATTTCTTCAAGAACAGTTTATTATATCAACCATAGAAGCTTCAAATAATAAATCTATATTATGAAAGTTAAAAAAATATATTTCTATACCTATACTCCTTTACTGAGCTTTTCCAACAACACCTTCTCTCTCTTTTCTCCCCCTTTCTATTTCTCTATTTTTCCAGAGACCAAACTGGCTGTTTCTTTCTCCTTTTTATTTTTTATTTTTTATTTTTATTTTTCTTGTCCATGAATATATCTATAGGCGGGCATACGTGTTGTGTTGCATGTGTTTCATATGAGATTGTGAGAGACAAATAGTTGACAAAGCTTCAAACAAAAGGATTTCAATTACTAATATAATAATATATTATAGTATAGGATGAACCTCTGGAAGGTTTCAACAATACTCCAATAGTTACCCCACTTGGTACGCTATATATATATATCTATGCCCAGCAAAACACATATTTTTTTTTTCTTTTTCGAAAGGAGCTATTATATCATCAGACGGACAACGGAATACATTATGAAATGCAAGCATTTAACAACCATTCTGGCCATATGATCCACTCGAAATTACTACATTTGGCTTCTAAAGCCTTTTTGCTCAAGAGATGAGCAATAACATTTCCTTTGCGAGGGGTCCAAACAAGAGAGGCACACACGCAATCACACAGAAGGGAAGGAACATCCTCAAGAATAACCGTAAGAGCCTCTTCCGAAGGGTGAAGGTCCATCGCCGACTTGCAATCACCCTCCACAAAGACCTGGTTATAGCCCCACCATTTGAGAAGAGTGAGAAACTCCCTGAGCACAAGACCTTCAGCCACGGTCGGACTATAAACATTGAGCAGAAAAACAGACGCCACCCTAATGGGTTGTCCAAGGTGGTTCCTAAGTAAAATACCACCTCCACAAGACTTGGAAACAAAGCAGAAGGAAGCGCCAAAATTTAACTTAAGGCGACCAAAACATGGGGCAATCCAAACAGAGGGAAGAGAAGGAATAGAGATAGAAGAAAGGGAAAGGAGATCATTCTGATTCCTCACTTCACAAAATTCATGGAATTTCATAACGGCCCGTTGCGAAGCAGCGAACGGATCCCAGAGGAAGTTGTTAAACATAAGATCATTCCTGCACTTCCATATGGACCAACAAATGAAAGCCGCCAAGCCGATGCAAGCTGACGAATTATCACAGTCTTTCCAAAGCTCAGTAAGGCCAAACCATCTCTTTGGCCAACAAGACGGAGTAAAATTGCTAAAATCCAATCGCAACGGACTAAGCTTCCAAACATTACAAGCAAAAGGGTAGGTGCAAAGAACATGATCAAGCGACTCAGCTGCCGTCCCACAGAACTTGTAAATAATATCCTCGGACCCACCACACTGTTGGAGAAGCTGAAGCACGGGTAAACGATCATGTAAACCTTGCCACATAAAGAGTTGGATTTTCCTATAAGTCAAAATTTTCCAAACATCACACCACATTCTCGTCTTTGTAGAGGCAAAACTACAGTTGGCTGGATTGGAAAACAAATTTTTTTTTTTTTTTTTTTGGCGAAGTGACAGAGCAACATAATAGGCACTCTTCACTGTGAAACGACCATCCGGAGTGAGACCCCAAATTTTATGATCAGACCCTCCCGTTTGACAAAGAGGCAGTTGAAGAATAAGAGTGGAATCCCGGATATTAAAGTGCTGAGAAATTAAAGAATAATTCCATAAGTGTAAAGACCTGTTGATTAAATCAGCAATTGAAGTGAAAGAAGCATGAATCTTCTTAGAGGTAACAGTAAAATTTGACTGATCCGGAAGCCAATTATCAGACCAATAATCAACACAAGGCCATACCCAATACGCCACTTCATACCTCTCCGAATCACATCCTTGGCAGCCTGCAAACTCTTCCAAACCCAAGAGGACCAAGGCTTAGAAGGAGAGTCCAAAAAACAACATGAATTAAAATATTTCCTCTTGAGAAGCTTGAACAATAATGAGTTATCCCCCACTTCCATCCTCTAAGCCATTTTAGCAAGAAGGGCGAGGTTAAAAGCTTCGACATTTTTGAAACCCAAACCCCCCACAGCCTTGGACTGACATAGAGAATCCCACTTTATCCATTTAATTTTATTTGACTTTTCTTCGCCGCTTCACTAAAAATTCATGAGCTTGCTTGTCAAAGATTTGCTTTGAGTCTTGGTATTGTTGAAACAGTGCATCGCATAGGTAGGAGCTGCCGATAGAACAACTTTAATCAAAACATCTCTACCAGCCTTGGACAAAAGGTTTCCCTTGAGAAGCTTTGTTTTGGCAGAGACTTTGTCGGATAAAAAACTGAAAGCTGCAACTTTAGACTTACCGAGGATGGAAGGAAGGCCTAAGTAACGATTAGACTAATAAACATTGCGGATATCCACCTTTCGTCTGAGAAGATCCCGCAGCGGGGCAGGAGTATTTGGATTGAAAAAAAGGCAAGAGTTATCAAGGTTCACCAGTTGTCTAGAGAGTGATGCATATCTGTCAAGGATGATCTTGAAATGACTCACCTCCTTATTAGAAGCAGTGCAAAAAATGATGGCATCACCTGCAAATAATAACTGAGAAATTGGCATACAGCCTGGCCCCAACCGAATACCTTTAAGGTGTTTACGACGAACGTCCTCCTAAGTAAGAGTGGTGAGCCCTTCTGTGCAAAAAAGAAAAAGGTAAGGGGAGATCGGGTCCCCTTGGCGAAGACCCCGAAAAGGGGGAAAACATGTGCCCCTCTCCCCATTAATAACCACTGACAAAAAACTGTCTTGACACACTCCATAATTAAAGAAACCCACTTTGAATCGAAATAGAGCCGTAGCATGAATTTTTCAAGGAAATCCTAGTTAACACTGTTGTAGGCTTTGGCATGTCAAGTTTAATGGCCATCAGACCCGGAGAAGTCCATTTCTGCCTGGATTTAATAACATGCATAAACTATTGTGCAATGACAATATTATCATGGATGAGATGATGTGGAACAAACGCACTTTGGGATTCATTGATAAGCATGGAAAGAATCATAAATACCATTTGTAAAACAAAAAGTCCACAATGCCCCTTTATGAAACAAACAAATGACATGTCATTAATTTAACACACATTTGCAAAATAATCATAATTCCGACAATAAAATAAATGTATGAATGTCAAAATGACCGAAAAATGATAAAAATGCAAGTACTCACAGTATCAATTTCAACCTATTTGCAAGGACCTTTGAGAAGAGTTTATACACCACATTCCATAGAGAAATGGGTCTGAAATATGACATCGAGACTGGATGCTTGACCTTTGGAATAAGGATCAGGTTAGTAAAGTTAAGACTCTGAATATTATCCCCATAAAGGAAAGAGTTGAAACCTGAGAGGAGTTCATCTTTCACTAGATCCCAATTTGATTGGGAAAAAAAAAAAGGGTGAACCTGTCCGGTCCCGGAGCTTTGAACGGGCCCATACTGCTAATAGCTTGACACAATTCAGCCATTGTTCCATCCTTTAATAACTCATTGTTCATGTCTAGAGTAACCTTGGCTGAGACCAAGTCCCAAAAATCAGCATCATCTACAATTGAAGGAGAAGAAAAGAGAGTATTAAAATAATCCTCTGCCACCCGTTGAATGTCATCTTTAGAGTCGCACCACTGACTCGTAGTGTCTTCTAGCCCAAAAATCGCATTTTTACGACACCGGATCATAGTTTTCCGGTGAAAGAATTTGGTATTCTTATCCCCATGATTGAGCCAGGCAATTCAAGACTTTTGTTTCCAGAACATTTCTTCATCACGCCAAGCCTTACAAAGATCTTGTTCAAGACGGGAACATTCCAACTTGTTGAAACCATAAGTCTAATCCTTGAGCTTGACCAATCGTTCTTGGAGTTT